GGGAGGCGGGGGCTCCGCGCGGCTTCACCCCCGCGCCGGGCGCTGGCTGGAGGGCAGTGCCCAGTCCCAGCCCAGCCTGGCACGAGCACCTCCGCGTCTGACACACGCACGTGCACACCCCTCAGCACTGGCACACATACATGCATGCTCACATGCCCCCCCCAGCACTGACACACACATGTGCATACTGCCCAGCACTGACACACGTACACACACATGCTTACCCCCAGTGTGTGCGCACACGCACGCACATGAACACACATATCCCCCAGAACTGACACATGCACACACTCTGAGCACTGGCACACATACATGCATGCGCACATGGCCCCCCAGCACCGACACACACACACGTGTGTACCGCCCAGCGCTGACGCACGCACGCATGCCCACCCCCAGCATGTGTGCACACACACGCACGCACACATTCCCCCAGAATTGACACACATGTGTACATACCCCCAGCACTGGCACTCACACTCCCTCAGCACTGGCACACATACATGCATGCACACATGCCCCCCCAGCACTGACACACACACATGCATACCACCCAGCACTGACACACGCACACATGCCTACCCCCAGCATGCACGTGCACACTTGCACCCACGCACCCCAGCACTGGCACACATACATCCATGCGCACATGGCTCCCCAGTGCCAACACACACACGTGCACACCTCCCAGCACTGACACATGCATGCCCAGCACACACACACATCCCTCAGAACTGACACATGCTTGTGCACCCCCCAGCACTGACACACACATGTGTATGCACACACATACACAGGCACATCCCCCAGAACTGACACATGCACGTGCACACCCCCCAGCACTGACACACACACACACACACACATACATCTCCCAAAACTGACATGCGCACACCCCTCTACACTGGTGCACACACAGGCATGTGCACATCCCCCCCAGCACTGACACTCACACATGCACCCCCCACACACTGACACGCACAGCCCCAGCACTGAGTCACCCCCCCAGTAATGACACACCCACATGTACACACACCCGAGCATTGACACACGCACACACATGAACACACACTTGCCACAGTAACACACGCTCGGCACTTCTAACTTCAAGTTCTCTTTGTGCTTTGCAGACCATAGTGAAGTGGCTCCTGGGGTTTCTTGCTGTTGCCGTGATCGTTACTGCCATAGCCGTTCCGGTAGCTTTACTGACAAACAGTAAGTTGGCAGTGCTTGATCCTTTGTACATAATGGAGCACACAAAATGTCAGAGCTTCGGGGAAATACTTGTCCAGAGCTTTCACTCAGTGTCAGCAAAGGTCTTGCCAAATCTTTAGACTCCAGCAAGTAAGGTGATTAGGTGTAGTATTCCAAGACTTCTGAACCTCTGGAAGGCAGCTCACTTTTGAAGATGTCACTAGATTTTATTTTTCTTAAATTAAAAATAAGCCCCACCTCCGTTCCCAAAGGATCCCAAAAGTATAAACAATTTTTCCCAAAGCACAATCAAAATATGTCACTCTGGCAACTTTGTTTTCTTATCGGGGCTGAAAATTGTAGACACAACAGGAAAAATCTAGTCTGTCAGTTTTATATGGCATGTTGTAGGAGAGGAGAAGAAATATCCACATTAAAGAATGTTGAGAACAAAACAGTTTTACGTAAGTGTATGGTATGAAATAGGCAGCACTTTTGCAGAAATCAGGCAGTTTGAGGGCAGAATGCTAGCGGGGACTGACTTTTGGACTCTGGTCAGTTTGGGTGATTAAGGGGTTTTCCAGTGGGAGGTTGTAGTCTTGGATGGTAATCTGAAACAACATTAAATCCACATTTAGCAGGTGAGAAACTAGCAATATAGCACAATTTCAAATCCTGTTTTTTGTTTTACTTCCTCATGACTAGCAGTTGTGCAGTGTTGCAGTGTAGAATTTTATGCTACATTCTGCTGCATTACAACAGTGTGGGATTGGAATAAACCTGAGAGAAATGCAGAGTTCCCACTGATATTTAGAACAGATATTTAGAAGCCTCATTTTCTTTTGTAAGCATCTTGAGCAAGTATTCCAGATCCTGACAGCTAATTGTTACAGAATACTCTCGAAGTAATCTCTGCTGTGTGTACTGAGGTTTGGGGTTTTCCACATTTTAGAGCAGTGCTTCTCAGCCAAGGTGCCATGGCATGCTGGATTGCCTTGGGATCCTTTCAAGGGTGCTGCAGGCCACCAAGCAATGCAAGCACTGTTAAGTGCAAATGTGAGTCACAAAGTCATTCAGAAAAGCATTCAGACCCTGCTGTGGTCCTTCTGAGTTCTTTGCAACAGGACAAAAAATGAGTGAAAGCTAAGATTGAAAGCATTTTCTGAGGGCTGCCTTGAGTCTTAAAAGGTTGAGAACCACTAAAGATCATTTAGACTAAAGATATGGTAGTAAAGAGAGTTTTGCAATGCATGCTAATCATCAGTAATAGTTAGATATTAATAGAAATTATGGTTTATACTGTCTGGATCTTATATATAGTCCTATCCTATGACTAGTTCAGTAGGTTTTGGAAGGGGACACAAGGGTGGGTGGGTTGGTGGATTTTAGGGGTGGGGTTTCCTGCCTGCCTCATGATAAGCAGATGTTAAAAATGAAATTTGCTTTAATTAGTACAGTTCCAAGCATCACACTAATTAAAGCACCCAGAGTATCACGTGTATCAGCGTCCCCGTGCTGAAAAATGGTGGCAGGGCACTTTGAACTAAAGCTCATCAAATAAGCTTTAGTTTAAAGTGGACCGCTGCTGCCTTTCAGCATGAGGAATCTGATACATGTGATGCTGGGGTATGCTGGAGTGCACTGTAGCAGACTCAGTTAATTGAGTCTGCTCTGATGCGCTGTAATTACAGCCTGATGAAGCATCCTCCCTGCACGTGTATAGGAGCCTAAAGTTTTCAAGTAGTTGTGGGAGTAGGGAAGAGCAGCACAGAGAAGGTTTCGGTGAGTTGTCAGGAATGTGTACATGGGAGGATTTTGGCACATGGGTTAACATGAGACTTTGCTGTAGGAAGCACCCTGGAAGAATGTAGCATGAAGCGACATATGTGACAAGCTTGTCTGGGGGTGGTTCTTCAGGCACACACGTATTCAGTCATCACTAACACAGCTAGCCAGCATTCTCTTTGGGAGTCCAGGTTTTCCATGGATGTGTAAGAGTTGGTTAGAGCATTCTGTTTTTAAAGCTGATAAGGACCCTGGAATATAGTGATTTTTATTAATCCCTAATCTTGCTGGCAACATCACACTATATCTGTCTCAATTTAAAAAAAATGGTGTCATGCTTGTACATTTATTTTTAATGCCTCTAAAAGAAGAGACTAGAAAAAAAAAAGTTTTACTTGTAGAGTACATATGGTAATCAGATGTGTACAAAGTGGTGTTCTACAGTCAGTTTCTGTTTTAATTTGAAATAATTTGGATTTAAGACAAATTCAGAAAACAGCGTGCATGCAGTCCTTGTGATTTTAGAAAAAGTAGATTTCTTGGTCAAGTATTGCCCTATTGATTATTGTCCTGGTCAACATAACTGGTTAATTCATTTCAGTACACCTAAAATTTCCATGGTTATTTCAACAAGACAAAGCATTCTTTTCCAGGAAATAACTTGGTGCATAGAATTACTTTGTGCCATTATATGGTTGCCATCTTTTAACTCAGCAATTCAGTAATGTTTAAATTGATATATGTGCAACAATTGCAGTATGGCTATTTATTACTGTGAAGGAATGCTCATTTTGATAGCTGGAGGTTAGCACTGCAATATTAGCTTTGCCTGTTTTATTTTTATTTATTTATTTACTGTTTTGCCCCCAGATGCACAATAGTAACATATAGCACTTCCTGTACTACTTGCTTATCAACCCCTAGTGTTGAAGCAGACAAGGCCTGTTAGCAAGTTCCTGGGAGAGTGAAAGAAAAGGAAATAGCACTTCCCTAAAATACTTGTTCAAAGCTCAGTTATGTGGTTCTGATTGCTCTCTGAACAGGAAAGGGGAAAGGGCTTCCTTCTACTTTTACATTCAATTAAAGTGAAAATCATGTCTGGTAAGACTTCAATATCTGTACAGTGTTTGTGAACTTTGAACAAAAATGATTGCTGATATTAGTAGTTATCAGCAATGAATTGAGATAATATAGGTGGTGCAAATGTTCTGTCTAACCCCAAGCACTTAGTTACTGATTGTTTGACTGCATCACCCACCCTTTTCTGAGCTCAGTACAGCTTACTCAGCTGAATACTCCCTTTGAGTTCAAGAGTTTCTGCCCAAGTAATTACTGTGCAATGTGAATAAAGGTAGAGGGACGGCGCAAGGCTCTTCCCAGCGCGGGGGACTGAGGTGGGCTAGACAGAAAATTGCGGGGGCTGTGCTATACATCTTGTGGTCAAACATACTTATTTGTTTTTTTTAACAATGCCCACTTAAGACACCGCACCTCTGTGGGCTGCGTGTGGGAGCGGGACAGGTTCAGCTGTGCAGGGAAGGCAGCAGCTGCCTGGACAGGAGTTGAGGGGCTTGGACAGGGGTGGTGGTGGGAGGGGTGACTACGGGGGTGGTTAAGGCAAATTTTGGGGTGGCTATAGCTCTCCCAAGCCACCCCTGAAAATGGAGTCCTTGGATGAAAGGGGGGTGGCTAAGAAAGACATGAAAAAAGGTTAAATCTCATGACTGATTAAGTGAACCAAAGTTAATTCTGGTAAAGGCTTGAATCAAGTAAAGATCACCTTTTTCACTTTTTAATCAGTGTGGTTAGATTAAAGTCAGGGGATGACAATAGATAATAGTTTTACGTAGCTTTTAGTTTTTCTTGCTTTTCTTTAGCTCATTATTTTTCCCCCTTCTCCCTTGCATACATTTCTTAACATTCCTTTTGTTTCATACACATCAATACAATTTGGATCTGGTAAATGGACTTCTTGAGTGCATCTAGATGAGTGCATATGTGCCTCTAGTGGCATCTCAAACCAGTTTGAGATGCCACAAGAGTCACGCTGAGAATGAAAAAATGTTCCCTGTGCTGCATACTTGCAGCGCAGGCTCAAAATTTGATACCTCGGTTTTCATGTATCAAATAAAAAAACCCCGAGAAAAAGTGGCGCAGGGCACAGCTCCCCACTGTGTCCTGAGGCAAGCTGGGGCTTGGACCTCCAGAGAAGCTCTGGCATCTGGCCAGAGCGTCTCTGTGTTGCCCCCGCTGCCTAGCACAGAACCAGCCCAGCTGGGTCCGACAGCATACATGGCCCATAGAGGCAGGACCTGGCCCTGCGTGACACGCGGCCCCTGCGAGTGGGGCTGGATCCCAGGTGACAGCCCGAGTGGCCCCAGTGCTGCCTGAAGCTGCACGACCCCGTGCTGCACCAGGCTGGCCCTGTGACAGGTGGCACAAGCAGTGTTGGCTCTAAGGCAATTGGGGCTGCACCGTGCTGCTGGGAGCTCTGGCCACAGCAGGTCCTGAGCACGCCATGGCCGCTGCTGCTGCTGTGGGAGGGGTCTGTGGGCCCTGCTGGGGGGGGAGGGGGGGCTGGATCCCTGCTAGGGAAACCAAAAGCAAACATCAAAACATAGATATTTAGAAGTTATTTTATTATGATGATAGAGTCACTGGTAGACTTCCAGATTGCTTTAAAATTGTAAATATATCAATAAAACATTGTCCAACTTCCCCCCCTCGCTGTTGCTGTTGCTATCACTATCTATCTATAGTGGCCTTTTATTTTAATTGTGGAAGAACATGGATTTTGGGGTATTTTAAAGAGTGAATTTTGGCTTTTTTTTTTTTTTTTTTTTTTTTTTTTAGAGATTTTGCAGTTTTCAAATAGGGAACACCAGAATTCCTGGAAGTGAGGCAAGTGACAGAACCCAGGGAGAAGAGCCTGCTCAGGATTGGCCCCTGGGACCCAGCTGGAGGTGGCTGACCTCCTGGCCATTAGGGACCAAGAAGACATGCTTTGACAGTTCAAAGCAGGCCACCACACTGAGAACATCTTCCAGGCGATAGCTGTTCAGATGGCAAGGAGGCAGCACACATGGCAGTAGTGCTATATAAAGGCCAGCTGTGTAGCCACAGCCCACAGCTGCCCCAGAGGTGCAGGTGCCTCTGCTGCAGCTGTGCAGTCCCCATCCGGGTCTGGCAGGCACGCAGCCTTGGGGCCATATGCTGTTGCAGGTGGCAGCAGGCCA